TAATGCGGGCTTAGAAATACATACGACCCATGTGCAACCGATTATAAGCGGTATAGGTATATAATCCTTTTGTATATATGTCGGGGACCCTGGCAACCCAAACGCTGATGCAAATTCGGCCTTTTCAGGCGGCTTATTTCGCATTTTGCTTTCGTTTCAGCTGCAAATCATAATCATGCGAAAAAAACAAAAGCATCAAAACAAGGACTCACACAGACCATGCAGCAAATCATTTATTAAGAAGCCCCTTCGTCTTCATCTGAGCCATATTTTCCCCACTTGGCCCAGCTTTTTCTGGGCGAGCTCTTTGGGGCACTTTGATTGTCAGCGGGCTCGGAATAATGGCTAAGCCGAATGCACTGAGCATCCATCTGACTCTGAATGCTCGCCCAGAGCATGAAAGAAATATGAACGGGGCCGCATGAATGGCTGCCACAGCCGGAGGAAACTGGGACACTCAATGCATCATCTCATCCTAAGCCGCATCAAATGAGATTTGTCAGACGGGCGCAAGCAGCAGAAAGGCGTGAGCTGAAATTTAGACATAATAGATTGCCGTGAAGAATGGGCCAGATTAAGTCCTAGATCGGCTTTACTCGGGATTGAAACGAGCCGTGGAAATAAACGTGAAACTGGTCCACAACAAATTTACTTACAGTTCTTTATTAAATAATTTTACTTAAAATCCAACTATGTTTTGAATTCCTAAACAAACCAAAATGAGTCTTATATGGGGGTGAAGAAACTCTTTTTTCGGCAAGAAAATCGGAGTTACTCGGTTGTGGGAAGGGAAATAACTGTAACTGTACTTACAAAATTAAACAATTAAAACATTTTAATTAAAAATGTAGTTTAATTTTAAATTAAACAACTTTTCAGACTATTTCTATAGGCATTATGAAAGTTGTTCGGCATCATTTGTTAAATATTTATACTTAAATCTTTCCGCATCTTTTCACAGCTAACAAAATCAAAGTTTCCGGACGAAATACTTGTTTTAAAGAATGTGAAATCGTCGTTTCAACTTCACAAGTTCGAGACAAATTCCTCACTCAAGTTTAATTGACTAAAATTATTGATAATAATCACTCGCTCGACACGACGTTGTCCCAAAAGCTGTTCTTCCGGTTTAACAGTCAAAAACCAACTAATCACAATGTCTAATTATAAACGTATTCTATCAGAGAGTCACTCGAAGCACTCGAGTTGCAGACCAAGAGTGCAGAATTGGACAACTGGTTTTATGGCCAAGGCCCAAATCACACAAAAAGTATGAAGGATGGGTCGATAGAAAGCACCTACTGCTTTTTAGTGGCAGGACTATGTTGCAGAAGGCACACAATATGTTGCCAGCTGTACAATGGGCCACTTAAACGACAACAATAAAAAATTATTAGAATGCCAAAGGCAACCGAGGCAAAGGGCTCAGCTAAGGACTCGGCCCGGGACTCAGTGCGCCACTTCATAAATCTACGAAAGGCATATGAAATACGAGTATCCTGTGCTGAGAGCAGAGCCAATCATGTTGCATGCAACCAAAGGATGCTGCACAGAAGCACACCGAAAGAAGTTAACTTAACTTATATTTTGTTAATTTTAAATTGGGTTTTTAATTTTAATTGTTATTTTTCTTATCAGCGGTAGAAACAACACTGATGAAAGTGGATAAAAGGGGAAATAGCTTTTCAAATATCTCCATCTAATGAATTCGTGTTAATTTTTTTTCAGTGAATAATAGTAGCCAGAAACCTTGTTACTTTTTTTCTGCATGTCCTGACCACCCAGGACATATGAACCCAGGACCAGCACAGAAACTCACATACACTTGGCTTGTGATTTATTAACAAGCTATCGTTTATCATGTGGGCAACAAAGGGTTAATGTCTGATGGGCCTGAGTTATGCACCAGAACCAGTAGCTGCAATTGCCAATTTGCTGGATGTGGCTATATCCTATATGCTATATGCTATATAGACACAAAGTGGAAAAGGATGGGGCGGGACTGCACCCGAAAATATCTGAGAGGCATCAAGATAAACAATCGCCTAGAGGTAAACAAAAGCGGAAAAGTCACGAAAAGTATGCGCAAGACAAACAAGAAGCCACAGGGAAAAAAAAAACGAAAAACCATAAAAGCCGCGACAAGAATTCCGCACAGATAATTTATGTGCGCTGCCAAGTTTATAAAAATTAAGATATTTCCCATTAAACTTTTCATAGCTGGAGAACGGAACGCAAGCTATATGCCCATAACTTATCTTGAAAATATTTGTTTTGAGCGCCGAGCGCTCTCGAGTTTTTTTCCGAATATTTTTTTTTCTTTTTGGGGAAAAATCGGAACGTGTTGAAGCGTTAAATTTCCATGTGGGCGGCCGGCGAGAGAATGGCCAAGAAAAGAAGAAAAATAGGTGGAACGAGAAGCAAACAAGTTGCAAGCTGGAAAAGGAGTCGACGTGGGTGCCGGGGCCAAGATAAAATGTTGACCAATAAATTTTGTGACCATGAACGACAAACACACAGAGCGAGAGGAAAATAAAAGACCAGACGAGCAAAAGGAACAAAAAGCGCACGGTCAACAATAATAAACAAGAACGATTAGGGGCCAAGAGGAGGCCCAACAAATATGGAATGCTCTCTCAAGAATTCTTATTTGGGTCTTGACCAGTTCAAGAACACAATCAAGTCGTTCAACCAAACATTCCATAAAATTTCAATAGACTCTAAAATGTTTCAAGGTTTTACTGATTCCAATGAAAATATCAAGTAAATAAATGGTATTCGTGTTACGAAGATTTAATATTGTAATCTGAAATCCTCAATGTTCCCTGATTCAGGTATTTATATTAATATGAGTGTACAGATAACGAATAATCGCTATGACACCTTTATAGAGATCTGTAATTATCTCAGCCAAAATAAAGATGAGCACAACATACTGGAATGTCTAATTCATTTGGAGATTATTGTGCTTATTCAAAAATCACTTAGTTAATTATAATTTTGGAAAGACTAATTTAAAGTAAAAGATTTCAAAAAGGATGCAAATATTTGCGTGTTTTTAATCAATGCTGACAAGTAATAAAATTTAAATATGATTTAAACTTTTTACTCCACGCTTTATCCCAAAAATTACAAGCAAAAAAAGTTATCTTGTTCTTTCACAGAAATGTACTTAAAAACATTATTTTAATCATTAACGTATTAATGTTCTAATTTTGACCATTTTAAATATTTATATTTCCAAATCCTTGAACTTTTAAAATTAAATAATTTTTTTTTGAATAACGGGTCTTTATGACAAAAGAGGAATTTATAAAAAATGTTTTCAAAAATGTTTTTTTTTATTGTTGTTTGCAAGAACTGGTTAACAGGTTATTTCATTTGGTAATTGTAATGCACTGCCACTGTGCATAAAGGATTTATAATCTTCTTAACCATAAATCCAGGTAACTCCTTCTCAGTAGTAAGAGTATGACAAATGTGGAAAAACTAGCGCGACGGGCGCCTGGCGACTTGCTCGCAATGTCCAGCGATTTCCGATCGACAAGTTGGGGCCAAAAGCTAGTGATGAACGGGCGAGGAGGCGACGGGCGAAGACCGAAAGAGAAGATGAGGAGCAGAGAAAGAGGAGCCGCAGTGTGTGCAAGAATGCTCTGCAAGCTTCATTAACGTGCCGCTCAACTCGTTTTTCTTATCTCGAAAAAAAACGTAATCGAAGCTGCATGAGTTTGCTGGGAAAATAACCAGCAAAGGTGCCGCCTTTGCGCCTCATTGGTAAGTTCATATTTGTCTACATAAGGTGGACAAGGTTAAGTAATTAACTATGGTAATTTGGAAAATTGGGCATATTTTGGCCGCTGCTTCTTCTTACCTGTCGCCTCAATGACGCACGCTGCCGACGTCGACTGCGGCAGCGACGCTGGCGGAGGAGTTACACTCTCTCGAGCTCACTCGCTCGCTCTCTCCCACTCGCACACAAACGTGTTGCGCTCACCAACACAAAGGCGAAATTGCACAGCTGAGCCAGAAAATGCAACGAATACGGGGCACAAAACAGAGAACCGATAACAATATACTCTTGTCAATTTGCTGCTACTTGAGTTGTTTTCTTTGCCGCTTCTTTTCTTTTGTTTTTATTTTTTTGGCACGTGAATCGACAATCGCTTTTTTTTATAATTTGCATTTGTTTACGTCACTCGACTGGCACATCCACACACACACGCGAGACTGAATGAAAGGCGCGTAAAGAAGAGAGTCGAAACTGCAGAAAGAGAGCGATAAATTTGGCAAGCCGCCTCACGCTCACATAAACAAATAAATTATTTGTATATTCCACCCAACTGCTTCGCTACTACTAATAATCGTTAAAGTCGACTAATGCCTACTTGCACAAGCGTTTCAGGCATGGAAAGAAACAATACAAAAATCGAAATTTCCACTCGCGTATTGTTTTGCATTTCGAACTATGACTTTCGCAACTCGCAGATAACCAAATACGATTATAAATCTATAGCGCGGCCTGTTGTTGTTGTTCGCGTGACCATCCGAATTGCTTGAAACACATTTTATTGCATTTTAATTAATTTTCTGGCCTCGCGAGCAGCAAAAATTCGTCCGCTGCCGACCCAAACGCGATGAAAACAAAAAAACTGTGTGACCGTTATTTGAATTAAAAAACATCACCGGGGAAAAGTCTAAAATACCACTGCTTTGAAAAATCCCCCTTTATACAATTCCCAAATATACCATATACTAAGCCGAGTTTCCAACCATCAGCAGACAATACGGTCTTCAGAAAAGTGGTTGCGTCCCATTTACATAGGCACCCGCAGCTGATCGGCATACGAAAAGTAAACAATCCGTTATATAAGAAGAATTGAATAAATAAATTGAATAAACCTCGATCAACCTTTATATTATTATTAAATATCTTTTCATGAAGCCATCGATAAGCAAAACCGATAGAATACGGAAAATCAATTAAGCAAAAGAGTGGACAGTCTTTTTCTTGGTAGTTTACCAACACTAGCCTTCGATGGGCGTAAAAACTCATTGATAAAAACAAAATCGCTTAAAATTATAAGTTTGGGGGGAGGGACAAGGACCGAAAGAACTGGGAGCATGTCGGAGCTGAAGGCGCCGTCGCTGCAATCGCTGCTGGAATCGGAGCGCGGATCCACGGACAGTTTGCTGGCCGAATCCCTGCAGCTGGACTTTGAGGATGTAAGTTGGATTATCCGCAGAGAAAAGGCTCAATATAACGATTTCCGGTGACCTTTTCGATTCCAGCTGGACGATGCCGAGTTTGCCATTCCGCCCACCATTCTGCCCACTTTGGAGGCGGTGCTCAGTGAATTCGATGCGGACTCCGATGTGGCCTCCGAATTGGGAATGCCGGTGCCACATGCCACGCCTACGCCCTCGATTGGTGAGGATGCCACAATAAGAACGGATGGCCGGGGAGGCGGTGGTTCCATTATGAGATATACCCTCCTCCATGGCGTTTCCGGTCAGCTCTCGTCCGCCGCGGATCGTGTTAATGCCGGAGCTGCGAGTTCGTGTGCCGTGGCCGCTTTCATAGCCATTGGAACTTCGCACGGCCACATCCTCAACTTCGATGTCACCCAGACTTTGAGGTGGGCCCACCAGGACAAACATGGCCAGGGTGCGGTGGCCAGTTTGGCCTTCAATGCCGATTCCACCCGGCTTTTGGCCGGTTTCTCCAGAGGAATGGTCGCCATGCTGGACACGCACACGGGCGATCTGCTCCGGGAGCTGTTCGATGTGATAACCCCGAACACTGGTGTCCTACACGTCAAGTGGACTTCCAGATCCTCGCTAGCTCTCTGCGCCGACGCTGGCGGTTCGGTGTGGTCGCTTAGTTTCACCCGGAAACTGGGCATCCGGGGCTGCCAGTCCAGATGCCTTTTCTCCGGCGCTCGCGGTGAAGTCTGCGCCGTGGAACCTCTGATTATGGATGCCCAAGGGCGACATGAACTCGATCAGTACTGCATTGTTGCCCTGGCCACATTGTCCAAGTACTTTATAGTGACAGTGCGACCAAGATTGCGGGTCATCAAGTACCATGTGCTCCAGGGACCGCCGGATTGCTTGCCCCTTCTCGCCTGGCACTTGGTCCTCATTCAGGCGGCCGACACCACACGTTCCGTGGATCCCGTGATTGTGGTTGGCCGTGGCAATCAGTTGTTCTTCCACCAACTCTTCGTTTCGAATGGCAGGATCACTCTGTTGTACCTTCGGCATGTCCAGCTGCAGGGAAGTCTGTTGTCTGCCCACTGGCTGGGACCCAAGTGTGTTGCCTCGTTGGATACGGCGGAAGTCCTTCACCTGGTGGATGTGAGATCGAGTAAGGAACTGGAATGCATGGACATGGCCAATGCTGGGCTGGTTTACGGCTCGGCGCAGTTCAAGGGACTGGCAACAGGTGGAAATGTATCACCTGCCTTCGCTTTGGCCGGCTCCAATGCTTGCTATAACTCGGTGGTTTCAAGAGGAACCCAACTGTATGTCCTGGGCGCCAGATCCCTGCATATTATTGGAGTACGAACCTGGTCGGAGAGAATTAGTTACCTGGTAAGATCACAAAGTAAAAAAGTTGTAGGGGATTTTAATATCTTACTGCTTTGCTTTTCAGGTAAAACACCATCGTTGGCAGGAGGCCTGCCAATTAGCTTTGGATGGCTACATCGCCTCCGTGGATCGTCCGCGAAAACGTGCCCAAGCCAAGGAGCGCATCATCATGCTCTTTAAGGAGTACATAGCCAATTCCGCCCGCGCACCGGACTATTGTCTCGGGGCCATCGTCAACTGCCTTATAACCGTGGGCGAACTCGATCTTCTCTGGACGCAGCTGTGGGAGAAGCTGCACAACAACAGCAGCTCGGAACTTTTCCTGCAACACATATCCGAGCATATCGAGCGGGAAACGATCCACAGTGTTAATCCCGTGATCTCCCAAGCTTTGGTTGATTATTGGCTGGAACATTCGCCGGCCAAACTGGAGCAACTCATATTGAAGTTGGATTGGATGTGCTTGGATCTGAATCAAGTGCTGAAGGCTGTCAAGAAGCATCGTTTGTACAGAGCTCAAATCTACCTCAACACCCAGGCTTTGAACGATTATACGGCGGCGCTGACGGAACTGCTGCCTTTGGTGACCGCCGAGGAAACGGATTTGGGCAACTGCCTGCTGGTCTATGTGTCCAGTTGTCTGGCGGGAAGGGGATATCCCAGCGGAGAGATTCCCGTCGAGCTGGTGCATCAGGTCAAGCACGATGTCCTGCGTTGTCTGACCTCGCAGCAATCAAAAGAGAATGCCGTCGATGAACTGCCCTATCCGTATCTAAGAGCCCTCCTCAAGTTCGACACGCGGGAAACGCTGAACGTGATATCGCTGGCGTTTCAGGAACAAGAGTTCAGCAACGAGCTTGGCCTCTCACATCGCAAGCGGATTATCAATCTGCTGCTAGAGATCATGACGCCCGAGAATGCAACGGTAAGATTAAGTCCTTATTTTCTTTTTGATCATAAGAAGTTATTTAATATTTCCAGTGGGCGGAGATTGGTTGCCTGCTGAACTTTATTGCTCAGCAAATTTCTATGCAGTGCCTGCCGCGGGACAGACAGCTTTTGGAACGCGTGCTGAGCCACCTGGCGCAGGAGGAGATTGCCCACGAAAGCAGTCGCCAGCACTCGGAGCGGGAGAATGCCTGGCACGAGCTACTTACCTCCAACTGTCTGGCCGAGATCAGCAGCGATAAGGAGCAGCTGCATTTGGCACAGCGGGCGAAGTGCTATTGTGTGGTGGAGTATCTGCTGGAGAAGCTGCAGCGGTACGACACCATCCTGGATTGTTACATACGAAACGAAGCCAGACATGAGACCATGTTTGCCTATATGGAGCGCCATGTGGCCACTCCGGAGAGATGCATTTACGGGCAGTTGAAGAGGCACTTGAGGGAGCTACTAACGATCAATGCCAAGGAAACAACTCGTTTGTTGGCCCTACATTATCCCGAAAAGATCCATGATCTATTGGATACGCTGAGGAAGGAAGAGGCTTTACTGTATGTGTTCCTCAAGTGCCTCAACGAACGAAGATGCGAACTGGATGCCACTCAATTGGAGTTGCTACTGGAGCTGCATTGTAAATTGGACACGGCCCTAAATGTGCAGGAATTCCTTTCCGGCAACTGGGGCTATCGCTTGGAGCAAGCCATTGCCATTGTAAAACGCCATCATCTAAACCGATCTGTGATTTATCTGTACGAAATGCAGGAGAGCTATGCGAAAGCCTTTGAGTTGTCCATGGATCTGCTACAGACTCTGACAGGCGAAGAAGCAGCCCACGAGGCACAGATCATAGTGTCGCTTCTGGCTCGCTCTGTGGCGACTTTGCCCGCTCAGGAACTGGAGCGCTGCTGGTTTGTCCTCTTGAAATATATTCTGCCCCATCCGGAAATGCAGTCCGTCACCAAGCACATCCTACACGAGGCCTCGCAGCACATTGATCTGCATAATTTGGTCCAGTTGATAATGAATACCCACAATGTGTCAAGTAGCTTTGGTGATATTAAGGATCTGCTGATGGGAATGCTGGACAGTTCTCGCCATCAAACGGAAGCATTACGGAATGGTATTGAGCTTATGTGCCAAAATCTGCATCTCGAGTTCGCACGTCGATATCGGCAGGCGAGCCGTGGCCTCTGGGTGACGACTACCAAGTGCTCCGTGTGCCGTCAAAGGCTGTACGATCACAGCCAGGTGCTAATCCTGGGTGGATGTGGTCACGGCCTGCACGACGATTGCATGGAGGAGGCAGAGACTCAGTTTGAAAAGTGTCCACGCTGCTTCACGGTGATTCCGGAGCAGACACTGCGATTGCCGCACCCTAACAATAATCTAATAAGCATTTCCTCCTCCCTGGAAATGGGAGCATTGCAGCTAAAGGCACCGCCCAGGCGTTTCTCGTAGTTGGATTCCTGCTCTTTTGTATATTCCATTTATTCCTCTATGTATTTATTGTACAACTCTGTGTATTGTTTGTGTAAGTAAAGCAGTTGCATGATAAATCTAAAGTATTACTGGGAGTCCAACTTTTATAGCAGAATTGCAGCTAGATTTGAACTCATATTCTTTTAAAACGAATGCTGATTTAAACTCTTCTTTTTTTTTTTTTTTGTACAAAATAATTATGAATATTGGTATATTGAAGATATCACTGTGTCCACTTAGTGACAATGAGCAACGGAAACATAGGAACAAAGCCTCAATATTGAAAATCAACTAGGAATAGTTCGATCTTAAAAAATCATATAGCAATCAAAATGTTTTTATAATTTTTGATAGAAATCCCAGAAGGAAATTATATATTTTTACATGCTATGAAGGAGTGTTCCAAAGAACCCAAATATTCGGGTAGTGCGATCGTCGCTATTTTTTATGATATTAATAAGTTCAAACAATTTATATACAATTTATATAGTTATTTTCAAGCACACTTTCAATAACAATAATAACATATTATTTAAAAAGTAGTTTCCCTTAACATACTGGTGGTCTTGTAGAATTATCAACCGGAAAAGTATTGTTGTAATGCTGTATAAACTCCGTGCATTGTTCAGCTATTAAAATAGAAATATATTAGAAATGCTTTACAATATTAAATGCTCTTAGGTTCTCACCCTTGGGAAAAGAGGAAGGAGGAACGGTTTCTCCAGAGGAATGGTCGCCATGCTGGACACGCACACGGGCGATCTGCTCCGGGAGCTGTTCGATGTGATAACCCCGAACACTGGTGTCCTACACGTCAAGTGGACTTCCAGATCCTCGCTAGCTCTCTGCGCCGACGCTGGCGGTTCGGTGTGGTCGCTTAGTTTCACCCGGAAACTGGGCATCCGGGGCTGCCAGTCCAGATGCCTTTTCTCCGGCGCTCGCGGTGAAGTCTGCGCCGTGGAACCTCTGATTATGGATGCCCAAGGGCGACATGAACTCGATCAGTACTGCATTGTTGCCCTGGCCACATTGTCCAAGTACTTTATAGTGACAGTGCGACCAAGATTGCGGGTCATCAAGTACCATGTGCTCCAGGGACCGCCGGATTGCTTGCCCCTTCTCGCCTGGCACTTGGTCCTCATTCAGGCGGCCGACACCACACGTTCCGTGGATCCCGTGATTGTGGTTGGCCGTGGCAATCAGTTGTTCTTCCACCAACTCTTCGTTTCGAATGGCAGGATCACTCTGTTGTACCTTCGGCATGTCCAGCTGCAGGGAAGTCTGTTGTCTGCCCACTGGCTGGGACCCAAGTGTGTTGCCTCGTTGGATACGGCGGAAGTCCTTCACCTGGTGGATGTGAGATCGAGTAAGGAACTGGAATGCATGGACATGGCCAATGCTGGGCTGGTTTACGGCTCGGCGCAGTTCAAGGGACTGGCAACAGGTGGAAATGTATCACCTGCCTTCGCTTTGGCCGGCTCCAATGCTTGCTATAACTCGGTGGTTTCAAGAGGAACCCAACTGTATGTCCTGGGCGCCAGATCCCTGCATATTATTGGAGTACGAACCTGGTCGGAGAGAATTAGTTACCTGGTAAGATCACAAAGTAAAAAAGTTGTAGGGGATTTTAATATCTTACTGCTTTGCTTTTCAGGTAAAACACCATCGTTGGCAGGAGGCCTGCCAATTAGCTTTGGATGGCTACATCGCCTCCGTGGATCGTCCGCGAAAACGTGCCCAAGCCAAGGAGCGCATCATCATGCTCTTTAAGGAGTACATAGCCAATTCCGCCCGCGCACCGGACTATTGTCTCGGGGCCATCGTCAACTGCCTTATAACCGTGGGCGAACTCGATCTTCTCTGGACGCAGCTGTGGGAGAAGCTGCACAACAACAGCAGCTCGGAACTTTTCCTGCAACACATATCCGAGCATATCGAGCGGGAAACGATCCACAGTGTTAATCCCGTGATCTCCCAAGCTTTGGTTGATTATTGGCTGGAACATTCGCCGGCCAAACTGGAGCAACTCATATTGAAGTTGGATTGGATGTGCTTGGATCTGAATCAAGTGCTGAAGGCTGTCAAGAAGCATCGTTTGTACAGAGCTCAAATCTACCTCAACACCCAGGCTTTGAACGATTATACGGCGGCGCTGACGGAACTGCTGCCTTTGGTGACCGCCGAGGAAACGGATTTGGGCAACTGCCTGCTGGTCTATGTGTCCAGTTGTCTGGCGGGAAGGGGATATCCCAGCGGAGAGATTCCCGTCGAGCTGGTGCATCAGGTCAAGCACGATGTCCTGCGTTGTCTGACCTCGCAGCAATCAAAAGAGAATGCCGTCGATGAACTGCCCTATCCGTATCTAAGAGCCCTCCTCAAGTTCGACACGCGGGAAACGCTGAACGTGATATCGCTGGCGTTTCAGGAACAAGAGTTCAGCAACGAGCTTGGCCTCTCACATCGCAAGCGGATTATCAATCTGCTGCTAGAGATCATGACGCCCGAGAATGCAACGGTAAGATTAAGTCCTTATTTTCTTTTTGATCATAAGAAGTTATTTAATATTTCCAGTGGGCGGAGATTGGTTGCCTGCTGAACTTTATTGCTCAGCAAATTTCTATGCAGTGCCTGCCGCGGGACAGACAGCTTTTGGAACGCGTGCTGAGCCACCTGGCGCAGGAGGAGATTGCCCACGAAAGCAGTCGCCAGCACTCGGAGCGGGAGAATGCCTGGCACGAGCTACTTACCTCCAACTGTCTGGCCGAGATCAGCAGCGATAAGGAGCAGCTGCATTTGGCACAGCGGGCGAAGTGCTATTGTGTGGTGGAGTATCTGCTGGAGAAGCTGCAGCGGTACGACACCATCCTGGATTGTTACATACGAAACGAAGCCAGACATGAGACCATGTTTGCCTATATGGAGCGCCATGTGGCCACTCCGGAGAGATGCATTTACGGGCAGTTGAAGAGGCACTTGAGGGAGCTACTAACGATCAATGCCAAGGAAACAACTCGTTTGTTGGCCCTACATTATCCCGAAAAGATCCATGATCTATTGGATACGCTGAGGAAGGAAGAGGCTTTACTGTATGTGTTCCTCAAGTGCCTCAACGAACGAAGATGCGAACTGGATGCCACTCAATTGGAGTTGCTACTGGAGCTGCATTGTAAATTGGATACGGCCCTAAATGTGCAGGAATTCCTTTCCGGCAACTGGGGCTATCGCTTGGAGCAAGCCATTGCCATTGTAAAACGCCATCATCTAAACCGATCTGTGATTTATCTGTACGAAATGCAGGAGAGCTATGCGAAAGCCTTTGAGTTGTCCATGGATCTGCTACAGACTCTGACAGGCGAAGAAGCAGCCCACGAGGCACAGATCATAGTGTCGCTTCTGGCTCGCTCTGTGGCGACTTTGCCCGCTCAGGAACTGGAGCGCTGCTGGTTTGTCCTCTTGAAATATATTCTGCCCCATCCGGAAATGCAGTCCGTCACCAAGCACATCCTACACGAGGCCTCGCAGCACATTGATCTGCATAATTTGGTCCAGTTGATAATGAATACCCACAATGTGTCAAGTAGCTTTGGTGATATTAAGGATCTGCTGATGGGAATGCTGGACAGTTCTCGCCATCAAACGGAAGCATTACGGAATGGTATTGAGCTTATGTGCCAAAATCTGCATCTCGAGTTCGCACGTCGATATCGGCAGGCGAGCCGTGGCCTCTGGGTGACGACTACCAAGTGCTCCGTGTGCCGTCAAAGGCTGTACGATCACAGCCAGGTGCTAATCCTGGGTGGATGTGGTCACGGCCTGCACGACGATTGCATGGAGGAGGCAGAGACTCAGTTTGAAAAGTGTCCACGCTGCTTCACGGTGATTCCGGAGCAGACACTGCGATTGCCGCACCCTAACAATAATCTAATAAGCATTTCCTCCTCCCTGGAAATGGGAGCATTGCAGCTAAAGGCACCGCCCAGGCGTTTCTCGTAGTTGGATTCCTGCTCTTTTGTATATTCCATTTATTCCTCTATGTATTTATTGTACAACTCTGTGTATTGTTTGTGTAAGTAAAGCAGTTGCATGATAAATCTAAAGTATTACTGGGAGTCCAACTTTTATAGCAGAATTGCAGCTAGATTTGAACTCATATTCTTTTAAAACGAATGCTGATTTAAACTCTTCTTTTTTTTTTTTTTGTACAAAATAATTATGAATATTGGTATATTGAAGATATCACTGTGTCCACTTAGTGACAATGAGCAACGGAAACATAGGAACAAAGCCTCAATATTGAAAATCAACTAGGAATAGTTCGATCTTAAAAAATCATATAGCAATCAAAATGTTTTTATAATTTTTGATAGAAATCCCAGAAGGAAATTATATATTTTTACATGCTATGAAGGAGTGTTCCAAAGAACCCAAATATTCGGGTAGTGCGATCGTCGCTATTTTTTATGATATTAATAAGTTCAAACAATTTATATACAATTTATATAGTTATTTTCAAGCACACTTTCAATAACAATAATAACATATTATTTAAAAAGTAGTTTCCCTTAACATACTGGTGGTCTTGTAGAATTATCAACCGGAAAAGTATTGTTGTAATGCTGTATAAACTCCGTGCATTGTTCAGCTATTAAAATAGAAATATATTAGAAATGCTTTACAATATTAAATGCTCTTAGGTTCTCACCCTTGGGAAAAGACAAGGTCTCATAAAGCTTTAGGTTTCGCATTTGAAAGAATTTGAAAACGCTGTGAAAAATGAGATCATCTTTTGTCTTATAAGCAGCTTCTAAGAATTTTCTAGCTGGTACTTTATCCAGACCCAAAGAGTTCTTAGCCAATCTTAGCGCATCGATTACTTTGCCTTGTCCCAACATCACTTCTATTATAATCTAAAAAAAACATTTAAAGTATATAGATTACTCTGTAGGAATTGATTTATAAATGAGTACCTCATGAGCCTGAATCCTGCCCAGCATATCGATGGCCACCTGAGATATGGCCGTATCCACAGCGGAATGGGATAGCAGAAAGCAAGCCACCGACTTGGACTCCAGCAGCATTGAATAGCTGACCAAACGTCTCAAAGTGTCGAAGCTGCGATTGTGGATCAGTTCACTAATGATCATCTTGCTCAACTCCTCCTGGGCGGCAATATTAAACTTGTTCAGGGATTGCAGGTAAAGTATCAGGATGGACTCAGTGTACGGGCGACGCGAAATGCGCTGGAAGATCTGCACCATATCCAGTTGCTCAATGAGGACAATAGGCGGTGTGCTCTGCTTCAGGGTGGAAGTCTTTACGTTCGAGGGCTGAGCAGTTTGATTTTGCAGCTCCAACTGCACCCAGGATCTGTAAATTAATACTCAATAAGCAACTATATTGATTCAGGGTAGCTATCCATAACGTACGCATATATCTTGTTGATTCTGCTGAAGATGGTCTCTAGAACTGGCAGCAGCGTTCCCTTATACTGATCATCCACCAGCTGAGCCACAACCTTTAATAGCACCTGTTTGCCAGTGCTGCGCTGCAGGAGAAATTCCGTGAGTCGAATGCGATCCGAAATCAGTTGGCACAAGGGTTCAATACACAGGTTCAGGAACCACATGCAACCCAGTTTGGCATCGATGACAATGTTCGGCTGGAAGAGCACCCAGTGTGTGGAATCTGCAAGGGACTCAAGATCGATTAAGGAAATTTTTCGTTAGCATTTGTTATACCCACACAACTCGCACTGCAAGATTTGTCCATCGGGTGATAGCGAAGGCAGCTTCAAGCCAAACGGCTTGATGGAACGACCCGGAGTTATGGGAGTGTGGTAGGTGATTTCATTGACCAACTCTCCGGGTAGTGAGATGTCGAAGAGCAGCGATGTGCCCGATGCTTGATGGTGCACCACAATCAAATTATCCACCGTGTTGATGGCAAAGCGGCCCACTAGGCTCAAGCGAAGGACATGGCACAAGCGAGGCGCCAGGCCCGGTCCATTGAGCAAGTGAACCTCAACTTCCATCTGTCCAGAACTGCTATTTGACTGCAGTATTAGCACCGCTAGCACGCCATAGACTTGACCTAAGGTTACCTTGCTCTCCTGAACATCGCGACTTGGACTGCCCACTGCAAAAGAGGAATTATTATGGATTACATTGAGTTCTTGCTTATAAATAGGTCTATGATCCACTCACAGTCCACTTTTGGCAGCTTGGTGATAACCTTCTGCTTGACGAGCACCGGAATCAGGGAGTTTCCCTCGCTGGTGCAAAGTAGAGCTACATTGGCATCGCAGCACCAGGCGAACCACTTGATGCCAATGCTTAGTGACTTTACAGAGCGCACTTGGCGTTTCTCCGGCACCACAGTGTATACTTCTACACCCGTGTTCGAGATCAGAGCCACCTCCCGATTGTGGACCCACACGAAGCCATGAATCATTGTCTTCACCTGGTGGGTAATGATCTCCTGCAGCAGAGGCTGTTCCCCCTGGAAACATATGAACTCCACGGCATTTTCCTTTCGCTGTACGGCCAAGATTTGATTGTCCGGCGAAAATTTGATGGAACGGATAGCACCTCCGCGATCGCTCATGCAAAAGGAGATGACGGTGTCATCGGTGGCCCCAGGTCCTTTGACCACCACTCCCGTTGCTCCTCCAGATCGAACGGCAAATATCTGTACGATAAAAAAACAATGGTTTATCACCTTTTAAATTGTCTGGGTAATTGTTATTGTTACCTGCTTATTTGAGTCATCGAAAAACACATTTGTTAACTGGCTCACAGCATCGAATCGTATGGGATTTGGGGATAGCTCAATATAGTGGATTCCGTTGGGATTATCCATTATTTGGCAGAAAAATAATAAATAACAAACTACAGCGCAACTTTTTATACACCCCTCATTAGATATGTGACCTAAGCAGGGTGCTAGAGATGAGTCACGAGTGAGTCACGCAGTGAAATGAGTTACCGATATAAGTAACAGTCAAATGTTTTTATTTTGCGAAACCAATTTTATATGTTATAAAATGTTGTATTACTTTTTATTATAAATATAAGGTATGCTTGTTAATGAACCCAACATTTCGTAAATTTTCTTTTTCTTTGCATTTTCGTCAAAAACAGTAGCTGCAATGGCGGTTTGAAAATAAGTGATTTTGTCCACCCCTGCTTGTCACGATTTATGTCACTGTTTTCTCAATGCTCATCCCTAACAAGATTCCAGTCCTATCAGCTGTTAGTGTTGCTAAACGCCAAATGTACACAAAAAACAACGATAAGAAAAAGCTGTGCGCTCCCGGTTTTATTGCTTGTGAATATTAATTGTATTAAATCAAACAAATGGGTCACCTGGACAAGTGCCGCATTTGCTCTTGCGGAGTGGCCAGCGATGACGAGGCCTACAATCTATTGGAAGCCCCAGACCTGGCCGCCAAATTCACAGAATGCACCAATTTAAAAGTGAATCCCGAAGACCAAGATACTTTGCCCAGCGAAATATGTGCCGAATGTTACGAGCTGCTTGAAAAGTTCCACTCCTTTCGAGCATTATGCATTGTTGCCGATAAAAAGTGGCGGTCCTATAGCCTCGTCACGAGAAAGAAAATAGACTGGAGAGAACGGGTTCTTGAGGTGGAGGAAAGCGAAGAGGAGTGGCAGCAGGAAGAGGAAACCCAACATCCTTTGGAAGAGCCAGAGTTAATCATTTGCGATTCCAACATGAGTCCCGAGAAAACACCACCGAAATTGAAGAGGAAAACCATCCCCAAAAAAGTTAAGAAGCCACCCAAACCTCAACCTGTTAAGAAAGCTAAAGAAGTAAGTGAAGTTATTCCTCTTAACTTGATACAAACTATTTAAACTAAAAATAAACACCTTCAAACTGAATTTTTTGTTTTACAGAAAGCAGTAAACACAAACAGATATTAACAACAATTTAAAAATGTTAGTAATATTCTATATTTTGATGTAATAAAATGAAACGATTGGCTAGCTTTAAAAACTATTAAAATTAAAAATGCTAAATCCTATACAAATTTTGGAAGAATTTAAGTAAGCTACTTTTTTCAACCCTTTCCTATTAAAATGTATATTTATACTTCTTAGAATCAAGTATATAATTCATTTAATGAGCATTAAGCTCCTGGATATAATGAGCTAATTAAATATTAAATATTTCCCCGTTTTTGTAGGAACTCCCACCGCCCAAATTCAAGTGCGACATCTGCTCCGACGAGTTTAGAGAGGAACGACGCCTGATCCTGCACAAAAAAGAACACGAAGGCCACATGCTGTATCACTGTTCTGAGCCTGGATGCGAGGAGGCCTTCAATCGATTCGAGACCCTTAGACAGCATGAACTGGAGCATTCGGAGGTGGGCACGCGGTTCATCTGCGAGGAGGAGGGTTGCAACAGGATGTACCGGCACAAGGCTTCGCTCAAACATCACCAGAGCAAAGCGCATGCAATTGGCAAGCCTTTGAAAACCCACATGTGCGAGTTCTGCGGTCGGGTGTTTAAAAACTTATCCGCCCTGAGTCAACATCGGTTCACGCACGACGATCAAATGAAATTGCCATATGCCTGTGAAATACCGGACTGCCCTTGGCGATTCTACAGCAAGGAAAAGCTCAAGATTCACATGATGCGACACCAGGGAATTAAGAACTACAGCTGCCCTTATTGTGGACTCAAGAAGACAACGAAAAATGAACTGCGACTCCACATCAACTTCCATACGTTGGAGCGGACATGGTCCTGCAAAGACTGTCCCAAAGTATGCAACAGTTCGACGAGTCTCAAGAAGCATGTGCGCACGATTCACGAAAAGGCCCGTGATTTTGCGTGCAACTATTGCGAAAAGAGATTTGCCACCTCGGATACGCGGAAATACCACGAGATGACCCACACTGGCGAGAAGAACTTTGAATGTCATGAGTGTGGCAAGCGATTTATTCAGCCCTCTGCTTTGCGTACTCACCGCAAAATCCATGAGTTCGAGGAGGTTCCTCAACCATCTTATACTATCCTCCAAATTACTACTATGGGTCAAGTAAGCTAACTTGCATCTTTTCTATTTTCATTTTTCAATATTGTAACGTTTATTTGCCTAAAATACGGATGTTTCATAGTTCAAAAAATGTTTTTGAATTTTTGATTATTTTGAAAGGGGTTGTTATTTAATTTAAAGCAGTTATTTATTAATTTTTTAGTTTGGGCTATATAATTTATAAAACAATTAAATTGTATTTAATATCTGTTGATTCTTATAAATCTAAATTTAAAAGAAAATTAGTTAAACTGCTAACGCAGGTTAAGGCTATATACTAAACGCTTCTTAAACCCATAAATTACCTTCAATAAAGAAAAACTTCCGTTTGGGATTCAGAATGTAAATAGCAATAAATTGTTTAATTATATTTTCAACTAAAACAATAATATACAGGAATTGTGAGTGTGTTTTCTTGCGTGTTGTTAAATTAATAAGGCGTGGATTTCCATTATGCCAGAGCTACTAAAAACTAAAGTACATCTGCTAAGGGTCGTGAGTCTGTTTATTGTATATGGTATAGTATATAGATAGCTATGCATACATATGTATAATGATGTGGTAAATGATATGACGTGCCATGATCATTTCCCCCGGTAAATATGGTGAAATCTGTTGCGTTAAAATCGTTGTAAATATGATGCCTCAGTTAAAGTTATAGATATATAGGTATTTTTATACTGGTGAGCTTAATGCGTTTTCGGCTTTTGTAAATATGAGTGTATAAATATGTTGTATTCGTATGTATATATCGTTTCTATACTTGCGTGTACTGATCCTGGGGGGAAATACGGTTTGTTTTGTTCATTCTCATCTTCACTTAGCCTACGAAAAATGCGCTTGTTGTCGTTTTTACATTTTTAGAAAATGTTTAAAGTACATAGAACATAAGAATATAGCATATTTTTAGGCTAAATATCACCCACGATTAAATCGTTGCTTAGAGACTACATAAAAACTAGACATATAATACATTCTTGCCTTGTAAGTGTGTATAAATATATCCCTATATCGGTAACGTGTACAGATTACAATTCAGACATAAACGATAAGCACTAAGTGGTATACAAGTGTTAAATATAATGTTTAAAGTTTAACCCTACAACTATGGGGTGTATATAACGTATATATCCATAATCTATTAACATGTTAAGCTCGCTGAACATTTCACATTATTTGTATTTAAACTTCTTCATTTAGACATAGTCCGAGGGCACAGTGCTGGTGCTCGTCTCGTTGATGGCCGCCAGTCGAGGACCTCGACGTTGCGTCATTGCCGCCGCCTCGCCGGCCGTAATTCCATTGCCCCCACCGCCTCCTCCAAGCATGGCGGCCGCTGCTCCAGCGGCTCCGACGCCCCCACCTCCGCCTCCTCCTCCTCCGCCATGATGATCCCAGTTGGGCAGCGGCTGGGACATCACGTTCAGTCCGACAATCTCGTAGGCGCCCTGATTACTGCCGCTCGCTCCGCCGGGCATCGCCGTCACCGACAGATCCGAATAGTAGGCACTGCTCGGCGCCGAGGACACCACCATTGGAATGTCCTGTTCGTGGCCTTGGTAATTGTATTTCTGTAATGGAGAAAGAAGGTAAACACATTTGAAATACATTTAAATAAATGCTTTTTTTTTTAATTGAAAAACTATTTTAAAAAAATCTGCTAAGTTTTATTTCTATTTTCTTGATTTCAAGGGAATTCGATCATCATAAAAAATGTCAATACATTTAGTAAAACAACAATATATACTATTCTTAAATCATATATTTGTAAATTGTTTTCGGATGCACTTAAAATTTTAAGGACATATTAGTAGAAAGTGTGGGTTCAAAAACATGCCCTTAAATCAGATTCCCGTTTTTTATACTGTTAAACTTTAGGATATAAAATATATTTACAAATGGTTATATAAAAAGTCTTGTTTATATCATAATTTCTTGCATTTTAGTTCCACTAAAAGTAGATTGCATTATTGCATGTTGTTAAAATCAAATCTATTTTATTAGTTTTATTTTAACATGATTGATTGTTTATAATGGTTCATTGCAGATAAAAGAGAATACTTAAATGTTTTTATGAGAAGTTAGTGATAGCCAATTTATATATAAGTTTTTATTAACCGTTTTTATAGTACCTAATAGTATTTTTAAACCATAAAACTACCGATTGCTTACCTCGCCGCACTGACTGTAGGCCGTATTCTGGTACGAGGGGTTGGCGGATCGCACGGACTCGCGATCGAGTTCCGCATAGAGTGCCTCGCTCACGCCCACCGGACTGTAGGCGTCCTCCATGTGGGTATAGTGGTTTTCCGCCGGCGACGTGGACGGCGGTCCGATCTGGTCGGGACCGGCGGACGAGCGACGGCTGCCGCCCAGCCAGGTCCAAACGCCGGAGTTGCTCGTGGGCCGACGGATGCTGTCCGCCGAGTGTTTGATCGAGATGGGCGAACGATTTTGGCCACCGTTTCGGTTATTGCGACACCACCAGGGCTGCGGGCGACCACCTGCAAGGGGAAGCGGTTGTGGGGTTAGACACGAGTTCGATATCTTTTGTTTGCTTAATTAAAATCATGTTACTCATACGACACGTTGTCCGCTGTTCGGAGATAATTGCAAAAACCACATATTCAACGAAAACTACAGTTGCCATTTGTGTGGATTATCGTTGACATTTGCTTCATTAAAAGTATCTTAAAATCTCTATAGGAATTGTAAGAACTGTGTAAGCAAAATAATCCTAAAATGGTTTCAGAACTAAAAAAAATATACTTAAATTAAATGTTTTTAAACTTGTTAAAAAATGTGTGGTCATCAAGAATATTTGGTTTCGGTTAAGTATAAAATAAACTATAAAATTAGATAATATAAAAAATAATGAAATAAAACTAGTCAAACAAAAAGAACATGAATAAAAGGTAAGAGTTGGTCTGATATTTATCTATAGATCAATACCAGAACATTATATTAAAAGGATAATTTAACAAAATTTCTAAAAATATATATCAGATTTGTTTTCATATTCGTTAACTGCTGCAACAATTAATGAGTTTTAAATAAGTTTTATAAAGACACCTGTTTAGAGTGATGCAGGGACCAATAGGTCGATGGATTTGGTGTCTTTTTTTTTTGTGGGAGGAGAATCCACAAACTCTAATCCGAATCGAACGCAGCAGAAATCTATGACATTTCGGCTTATAATCGGGCGATAAATCAAACATTCACCTCAGGACGTGAACAAAAGACAGAAACAAACAAACAAACAAAGCGTAAATTAAACGGCTGTCAACTGGCAGCGAGGTGGCAAACCAACTGCACCACTGCACCGCTGCACCACCGAGTCGGTGTGGTTTCATTTTGTGGTGGCAGGCAGCCAAGTGGCCGAAAATGCCAAATGTTTCTCCTTTGCGATATCAGCACATGTGATCTCATAATGCCCAAGTGGGCATGGGAAGGTTAATGGGAGCTCTGTGTGTGACTCAACTAAGCGTTGAAAAGCACTCAAATTCCAAATAGCCGGGATTCCATAAAATCTCTCCCGTCATTAAGCTCATAATTTATAGACAACTAACGCCAAACGCTCAATGAGAATCGCTGGGCGCAAACACGTATAATTGCTGGCCGTAAACGAAGTAGACCTGTTCTCAACATCCGAACATCCGCCATGGCGTCGAATTCCCAACTCATCCCCAGCTAATTTGCCTAGAGCTGGTCGCAAAAATGGGTATATATTTTTTTTATATATTTTAACTCGCCTTTCACTCTCATTAACTTGAAAAAGATGGAGCCACTCGGAGCCACTTGGGGCGATTCAGCTAATTAGCGTGGTGCATACGCAACGGCAGCAACAGTGCAACCGATGGTTCCCCAAGTTATGTACATGCATAATGCAGTTCCTCAGGCACAGAGAAAAAATAACAGAAATTGCAGTAAATCTGTATTGCTACTCTCACAACACAAAGTTTAATTAAATAATAGGTGCACTATAAACGTACTTAAATTGTGACCTCAAAATTATAAAAGTTTTAAGCCTTATTAAAAATTATGTCTGTATTTATTACAATAATATTTTTTAGCAAAAATATATTTACAAAGAAATTTTATTTAGAATATTGAAAAAAAAGGACATTGTTTCCGATATTTATTTAATATTTTTCAAATACATCACATTATTTTTAAATCAATTTAAACTGTATTACAGCAATGATTTTGAATTGCTAAAAAATATTTTAAAATTCGAAATAATTGAGGAAGCTAAGATCTTACTGGGTTAGAACGATAATAAATTTAAAACAATTTTAACATCAGTTATACTTAACTTATTTTGGAGGCAGACAAGCTTACAAAGAAATGGTGCCATAAATTGGAATAAAATTAATACAATTTGCATGTTTTTTTTCCCCCTGTGCAGTTTGCATTGCGAAGTTGGAGTCGAAGTCTGTTTTATGCTTATGATTTACGTACTCCGACTAAGCGAATGTCCAGCAGCAATGGCTTTGACTGCGGCGATTATTACCCCAAACCGAAGTTATCGTACGTAGGTGCTCATATACATGCATTTTGTGCATGTCACCAATGCCACAAACACAAGTCCCAGACTCCGAGACCCATTCCAAGACGCCAAGACCCAGCTCCAACTGGAACTCGGCTTTAATGGCTGTTTTTGCGCCGTGTTAACGATGTTGCCGCGGCTACTGCACAGCTAACTCAGCTGAATCGATCCAAAGCAAGTTGAACTGAGCTGGAACTGCAACTGCATTGCACTTACGATTATTTTTTTTGGGTTTCTTAATGCTGCACCACAGTGGAGACCCCCAAAAATGACCTTAATGTTTTTTTTTTCAAATTTTTTAAGAAGGTATAACTTCTTATAGTTTAAAAATATTAAACAATTTTTTTATTAGATTTATAAATTATTTTGTATTTAAAAGAAAACTTTTAAAATATTTAAATTTAATTAAAATCTTCAAAATGTAAAAGAGGAATTCCTAAAAAAAAAAATACAAAACAGTTGAATTTTTAAAAAAATATTGTTATTTTTCCTGTGTCTTCTGGTTTTTAATTGAATTAAATAAAAATATTTAGGTAAATTTCATCAAAAAATATATATTTAAAAATTATTACTTTAACTGTATGCTTCACTGTCCTACAGTGCATTATAACAGCTACCGTGGACGTCTTATCTTCGACTGCTTATCGTAGTTACCAGAATGGTTGCAGCAGCCGACGAACAGCAAGCGGCAAATTGTTGTTAACAAAATATTTCGCAGTCAGCTTTTGTTCAGATGAAAAGCGTAGAAAATCAAAAATAAATAAACGAAAAATTAACGAGCACTTTGGTTTCGGAATTTAATTTGTGTTGTGTGGATGAAAATTGTGTTTTTTTTGTTTCTGTGCAAATGGCAAATATGACATGTGTAATGAAGTCTTAATAGTCAGCTAGATAATGCCAATCGCAGTACGTTGTCTTGCCCGTTTAATGCACACAAATGTCACATAGCAATTTTCGTTAATTTATATTTTTGTGTGTGCTGGTTGATTATCTTCAATTCTTTGTGTGCATAATTAAAATCATGTTACGCATACGACACGTTGGCTGCTGTTCAAAGATAATTGCAAAGAATAACCTATGAAATTGACACCATCGAATGTTGCAATTGCCATTTGTTGTGATTGTTTACAGAGATTGCTTCATTATGTAAATTAGGAAATCTGTCTATGTGGTTGGGAGGCTTTAAAAAATAAATGTAAATGTTATCTAGCACTACTTGCAAACATTTAAACTCAAACAAACATTTAAACAAACAACTCAAAAAATAGTAAGTTCTTATAAACAAACATCCATAAGTTTACTGCTCCATATATCCACTTAACAAGCAAGTTGTAACAAATGAATACCGCTTTAAGGAGAATCTTTTGCAGCTTTTCTGCTAAATGAACTCCCACATAAAAATATATTAAAAGTTTAATTGCTTTTTAACGACACATAGTTCAACCAGTTCACAAAAATTACAGCCTACATTTGAATTGAAAATCTTTTTCACCTCTACAAAAAAAAATGTTGCAACCAATAAACACCACTTAAATGTGCATTTTTGGCCAATTGAAAATTTTCTCTTTCGGCACAAAAAGACTCGGGAAAAATCCGCAAAAAAACTCTTTGGCAACTGGCGCTTGTCTCTCAACTCTCAACGTTGACTTGGACATAATCACGCGCTTTAAAAGCTGCTGACAGTTTAACGATTTGTGGCGATTGTTTGTTTTTCGGGTTGTTTCTTTTTGTTTCGTTTTTTAGCTTGGTCCCAACATGCAACCGTGCGTACCACCAACGAAAAATGCCGAAAAAAAATAAACACAAACACAATCAACAAGTGGGCAACAAAAAGTTTTTGGCAAAATAAAAAAGGAAACCAACAAGAAACGAGCATTTTCATGGGGACAGCTAATTGGCTGCTGTGACATTAAATGCCGTCAACAATTTGTCCTGCATGTCGATTGTCAGGCCCACAAGACGGACAGTGAAATTGGCGCCAAGCTCGAAGAAAGGGAAAGATTTCGACCTGAAAAGGGATCGTTTGTCAATAATTCGCCTACTGCTGAAAGCCGAACCAGAATCGCCAGACGAGCAACTAAATCAAAATAGCAAAACAAAAAAAAAAACAGAGTCTCTTTGCCTCTCCCCATTTTGCACGATTTTCAAACGTGTTTGACGAAGTCTGCGGCCATGACAATTGTTTTGGCTTTGCCTTAATTTGTCTACAAATTTTCTTTTACTCGAAAGTTTTATCCGGCACGTAGCCCGAGGCAATATAATCCCCCAGGGCTCTCGATTTCGGTTTCAACTGCCGCAGGAGGAGCAGCAGCATCTCTGATTTGTGGCACGAACGTGAAGTTCATGCATTGTCGTCAAAAATTTGTCTTCATTTTGTTAGTTTGCCTTCCTTCTGCCACAGTCGCAGAAAACAAATTAAAATGTTGCCACAACGGAAAAAAAAGGGAACTGAAGTCCAGAACGAAAGATTTCTTTGAATTGCATGCAACGGCAGAATTATGCAATTAAAAATGGAAATGAAAATACAAAGAGAAGGCAAGAGCCCCTATGATGAGCAGATGTAACAAAAAAAACCTGACCTGACTTGGCTTGGCTAATTAATCAGGCCTGGCAAAAAACGTCAAAGTGATCAGGCTTTTTTGAGGAAATGAGATATTAATGGGATAAATTCGTTGGACGGAGGGCTCTTATGGGAAGGGAAAAATTAATTTAAAATTATATATGCAGTTTTTATGAGTTTCACAAAAGTTCTTAAATATTTTCTTATGTTGCAGAGATTTTCAGGCTCTGTTCCTTTTTATTAACATAAGATAACAATTGAGCTTCGTATTCTTCTAAGTAAAGCAATCTGAATTGTAAATTATGTTTGCATTTAACTTATCTAGTTAATAAATGGCTATATATAAATATAGATATCCTATTAATATACATTTAAGCACCCCCAACAAATCACTCCCCTCATTTAAATAATAGCTTGTAGTAGAGAAAACATTTGTTCACTTACCATTGGCATTCGCTGATTTAATTCTGCAAAGATAAGAATAGAAAAAATGTGTACCAATTAATAAACAAAATTTTAATAGACTGGCGGGCATAAATTAGTATAAAGTAAATGTCAAACTTGTCGAGCGACAAAATGGCAAATGCCAAAACGAATGACTTGGGACACAAACTTGAGCGAACGAATGACTCAAGACACAAACTTGGGCCACGCAAATGCTATAAGAGCCAGTTGCGTGTGACGCGAACTGACACGCCGATAAAGCTAATACAACGTATCTGCTGGGACCGATAAAATCCACCGGCAACAACGGAATTGCATTATCCAGCAGCCAGGGAACATATTCGCCATTTGTTGCGATTAGATTATACCCAAAAGAAAAAAAAAACCAAATCATCGATGATGTTTTTGGCATTTGAAACCGGCTCGAAGACTGCATTTCTTGGGCCTGAGTGATTTGTGCCCGAATTCACAAATCAGCAGGTGTTTGCCATGCTTTCTATGTCTTTTTTCTGGAGCACATTTTCCACTTCGTTTCATTTTCCATTTCCAAACTACATATTTGCACTTGCTGACTCCGCTTTTCTGGGTCACATCGAACGGCACGAACCTGGGGCCTAAATGGCCATATTCCTCTCGATATATATATATATATATATTCGATCTGTGCGTATCAATTAACCGTCTGTCCGATTTGATTGAGTGCAGTGCGGCATGCGCTGCATTTTCCCCTCGCTTTGCCTTGATCGATTATAATGTTAACTCAACTCGAGCCCCAACTGCCAATTCGTTTTTCTCTCTCTTTTTTTTTTAGTGTTAGAGTAAATTTCAGTTGTAGTTTTTGTTCTCCTCAATTCAATTAAATTGAACAAGCAGTCGCCGCTGTCTCGGGGGCCTTGGCTATGCGCTAATTTACCTAGCTCGAGTCTTTCAGCTTTTTTTCCTACGATTTTCCTTCGTCGCGTTATGTTCAATTTTCTGCGCTTGTAGTTTCGATTTTTTTAATAGCCTTTTTTGGGGTTGATCGAGTTTTTTGCATGCTAATTGAACACGCCTTTTTGTGTCTTAAATGCATTAAGCGGTTTAAACTTGACTTTTGTTTTTCGCAACTAAAAGACCAACTAAAAAATAATTTAAGACGGAACGGGCCTTGGATATATTAAACCAAAATCGATATAGAAAGGTGTAGTTTTTAAGCAGAGATTGAATTAAAAGGGTCAGAGCTATCAAAGAGGTTAATACTTATAATTACAGTTAAGAGAGATAATTTCATATTTGAAAGGTAAGTTGTGGTTTATTCAATACATTTTTTTAATGCTTAAAAGATTTTTAACATCATTTATATCCAATATGTTTAAAAAAGCTTTTTATACAAAACGTCATCACATTAAGTAACTTTATTTTAATGAAATTCAAAAATCAATTAGAAATTAAAAAGAAATCGGGAATAAATTCGATTAAATGTTGTTCATTAAAGTAGGAAAACTAGAAAAGAAAGGGGTTGACTTTTTGTTAGTCTGACGAAAATAGTCAATTAAAATTTATTTAAAATAAGTCTTATGTAAACAAAGTTTGCGTAATTAAAATCCACTCCAACCGCTCCTTAATATTATCCAAGTGTCAGAAACAAGATTCAATTGCATTGGCACTTTGAAATTTTTCCGACAAGCTACTGTGACCATTGGAAAGACATTATCCCGTCTAGACGTTGAGCAAACATTGTCAAAAAAGCACACTAAATCCGAATGGCAGGTGCCACTTAAGACCTAAGCTCAATACGGTGGCCGAGCTAAACAAATCAAGTCGAGCGAAATACAGAAACAAATGCAAAACCTGGTGACTTGCTGGGGACATGTGCCAAGCAAATTTATAGCACCATTACGAACAGATCGAGAATTGCATCAATATGCAAATAAGTGTAACCGATATTACATGTAATTGCTGCTAATTTGGCAGCCAACACGTCCGACCACGACGTGACATGCTCCACACACCGACGGACTGGAAAACTGAAAAGCTAAAAAACCGCAAAACGGTTGCGAAAACAAGTCCCAAAATGAGTGACTAAGGCTGACGGCAAGGCAAACACCGTGACATTCAGGTGACGGGGGGACGGACGAGTGGGGGGGTCAACAGGTGATTAATGCAAAATCAAATTTGGTCCAAAAAGCGTGAGAATAGGAGACCAGCGCCACTTGATTGAGACAACTTGGCTTTGCTTAAAACAATACTGAATAAATTACAGGTCATAGGGCTTTTAAATCTGTTTTGCAATGTCCCCCAATTTTTCCGAATTAACCTATGTATAACCAATTCATCCCAAAAAAGTTTTTAAATGTAAATTGTTTCGATTTTAAATAGCATGGCTTACAATCTCCTGTTACTAAAATTTTTTTAACGAAGGAAACAATTATCTTTTAAATTATATTTTATATCTGTATATATATAAATTTTATATATAAATTATAAGATTAGCTAATTTTAACTTGAAGTTTAATAATAAAATATTTACATTGGCTAAAGGAAGTTAAAGAATAGACAACATGGTCCTTGCCCTGTTAAAATAGTTTAAAAAATAAATAAAAAAATATTTTAAACTTTTTTTCTAAATTGTCTTGATTATAAAATAGTTTTAAATGAAAACAAATTTTTGACTTAACAGTTTCTGGTGATTTGCAATGTATGACCAATAGATCAAATTTGATTAGGTGTCTTAAAGCCAATTAAAGAAATAAAAATATAATTGGTGATTATACAGCGATCAAATCATTAAATGTATCAATCATAATAATAACAAGTTTCCTGCCCTTTTCAAAGCGTATCCATTTAGTCATCTATACGAACAACTCCATTTCAACTCCTGTTTGAACTCGCATTTCGCATTTGTTTGTTTTGGCTTGGGCGGATAATTTGCAAAATTAATTTTATGCAAACATGCCGCCAAATAAGACGACATGACAATTTAATTGGACGCGACATGTGGCCAGCGTTTCCACTTCAAACTGGAAGCCCACGGCGGCAGTTGAATAACAAGCGCGGCGCCTGCGCAACCACCAATCGAATTGGACAAAGATTTCTGTTAATTTGGCACTCGCGTGTGTTGTTCTGTACCGCCCCCGCACCACCGTACCCTTCCCCAAAGTCAACCACCTCCCCTCCACCCTCCATTTAAATGTACTCGAAATCGCAAATATCTAGCGATTGGAGTGTGTGACCCACTCTTCACGGTCTTTTGATAGACTCGAAAACTTCGATTTTGGCCATATAGAAACGCCTGTGGCCAAAACTCTATGTTTCGGCTTGTGTTTCGCTTAAAGAGCAATTAAGTAATAAAGCAATTTCATGTTCCTTTGTTTTCGGCTTCGATTATTCTCAGCCGTTGCTGTTGCTGTTGCTTTCGATGCCGTTGACTCACTTAAGAGGTTTTATTTATTTTTTGGTGGGCGTTTAATTGAATTGCTGGTGTTGCCGCTTCGTGCCGCCCGTGTGGGCAATGCATTGTAAATCTTTATAGTTACACAGATCCCACAGCTCAGATATTCGCGCAAATATGAGACTTGACTGGAGTCCCCATACGACGTAAATATATTCAATTTGTCTGGCGTTGTAAATGTCGCCGTCGCCGGAACATGACGGATCGTTGGGGTCGTCAAGGGGTTAAGAGTTGAATGTCCTCTTCTCTTTGCTTCCAAACTCATGTGTGTATTTTGCTGTTTTTATCATGACTAATTGCGGCATTTTTCTAGCTAAATGCCAAAATGTGACTGTTTATTCATTATTTGCATTTTTATTTATTCGCCGCTTGTTTTGGCCAATTAATTTTGAATGGTCAATTTATGAGGTCTCGAGGGGGAGACTCGAATTTATTTTTCGTTTGCAATTGAACATGTTTAAGGAAAGTACGCAAAGTTATTTGGAAATTGCCATGTATGGCCAGTTGTGCCACAAACAACTTAAATGGCCAAAAACAATTTACTTGTTATAAATTAATATTTGTTTCGTGACGCTTGCGTCTCCATGTTTAGAAATTTTTGATGTGGCCTTTGGGAAGATCGTACATTTTTTTGGTCGATATTTGACTAGCTTACGTCACATGAGAGAAAGTATTGTAGTAGTAAATAAACTAATATTAGCACATATACATTCGACTTACCTTCTACATCTTAGAACTATGACCATTACAATAGCACCTATGAGAGCCGATATGATTGAAACTATTATTAGGGTGAATGCCCATCCAAGTTCACCGGCGGTTTCTGCAAAAGAGGAAGCCAAAAACGAAATTGTTAATGAAAATAAGCGTAGATAAATCTAAAGCGTGTGTGTGTAATGAGCATAGTAAAACTGGCTGATCAGCCTTTTTATGATTATGCAATTTTTATGGAGCGATGGCGATAAAGATGATGAATTCATAAAAAGTTATGAATATGAATGGAACATGTAGTGGAGTATGAAATATGTATTATAACGTGAATTTATGTATATAAATAAGGGTACAGTGGTCGCACACATTTTAGAACCGTAAGCTCGTTGGCTGCTTATAATTAAATTCTGTTTGTCTAGTGGTATAAAATAACAATATCTTTGTCAGTCACTTCCTGATATAATGTTAGTAATACACTAAACAAATTTAGTTCTTGTAAATATTTTAGATGTCTTTCATCCCATTTAATTGTAAAAATTCTAAAAAAAATATATTACATCTTTAAAGGGGATGTGCAAAACCTCGTTTTAGAGGTGTTTAGACCTATGAACAGACGGAGCTTTTCAATTCGTGAGTAAAGTCAATTAGGACTGGACCTGCGGTGACTGGGTGGCAATTAAATTCGCTCTCGCTAATACTGAGTCTTCAATTCAACTGGCGAGCGGTTTAAATTTTCTTAAATGCTCACTTACATATGTACGGCGCATTTAACGATGCAAAATTAATTACAAACTTTATTATCTTAACAACTTGAGGCTGACGTCGCCGTTAACGTCGCTTCCCCCGCTGGTGATTTAGAATATTTATGACCGCAGTTAAATGAGGCGCGCAATGGAAGTGAATGGGCGGCAAAGGTTGGGGTGGGGGGGGCATTTCCTCGCCATCGACCATCCACCATATTGGTATCTCTTTCCGACTGCCCAACACATGCTGCTGCGTTTTTGACCCTTTTTCGCCTAGTCTGTTATCTCTAAGTGGGCATCGGCCAGTCGGCCATATAAAGGGGAAAAAGGTTAAATTCAGCAAACAGAAATCAACACGCATATAAATATTTCAGCCCGCCTTTAGCCTTTCTACGCTATGTTTTATATCCTTTTGATAAAAGCCGAAGCGAAATTGAAGATGAAATAAACAGATTGCACAAAGAAGGAAAAGGTTGAAATATTAATACTCTTTGTTTCTACAAAAATGTATGACAAAATTACATATATTAGCTTATAATAAATCTATCCATATATATTTTCTGTGTTCATACCAATCCTCAATATACATTTTAATTAACTGCCTTATTTATGTTACCGTAAGGCATATTCCTTTGTTTATGCTATAGAGCTTCTGTTCCTTTATTATTGCAATTTATAAGAAGGTTTACTTTTCCTTTAGTTACGTCATAGTTTACCTTGACCCCTTTTTCTCTAATGTTGCTCAAATTTCACCTGTAACTCCTTAAACTCTTTCCTAGGGCATTAACAAACAAAAACAGAAGGGTGGCCAGCAAAATGAACGTAATTTAGCCGCTACTAACTGATGAATGGACTATCAACATTTGCCTTGTACTCCTGCCTCACGCCTCCCCCTTTCGAAATTGACCCCATTTTCGCGCTTATAAATTTACTGACTCCCCGACCCGCCTCCACCCTCCACCCCTCATCGTTTGTTATCTCATTGCCAGTTGCTTAAATATTTATACTATGCTCGGTGCTATAATGAAAGCAAACGCCATTATGTTTTTTCAGCGCTCCTTTCCTTACGACGAATCTCCCCTTTCATTGTCTTCGCTTCGTTATAATTCAATTGGCCAAAATATAAAGAAGAGGCAGCTTCAAAACTGGGTACCTCGAAGACTGGTAGATGCATAACGTCTTTGGAAACTGGGTAATTAATAACAAACAGAATGGGAGCGAGTGAAAAGCAATTTTCGCTTGAATTGAGGATGTGGGCGTGGTGAGCAGGAAACGCGTTAATAAGCGGCGCCTCAGAAAGTGTTAAACAAAAAAATGGGGAAAAAAAAGACAAAGGCAGAGAAAATGAAATGAGAATAACGAGGAGCTCCACTTGATAATTGAACTAACGAGTTAAGAGAAAAGAAATAAAGCATTTTACCGACTTGTGTCTGAGCCTCGCCACATGACTTCTATGCGTGAGCTAAACTGTAGAAAAACAAAAAAAAAAGAACTAAGCTGATTTGCATTAAAATTAACAACTCACTGGTTCGAAAAATGGATTACCCATACGCGGATTTCCTTTAATTAAAATTGCCTTAAATAAGTTTTTATAGATTTTTGCTTGACTGCTTTTCGAATTATTATTAGCTAGAACAAACATCTTAAATACCCATAAAACGCAATCATTAAAGCAAATAGGTAATTATAATATTTTTTCAAATTACTTTTTTAAAAATAACTTAAAAATTTGAGCAAAGCAATGCTTATTTTCAAACAGATTTGTACTGACAGTCCTAAATATTTTATTTGAAGTTGTATTTTTGCATTCATAGTTTATGTTTATTGTTGGTTTAACGCCATTACTTGAAGTTTAACGGAATAATAATGACTGTCATAAATATTATATATGTAGTAGTATTTTTGTATTCATATTTTAGGTTTATTGTTGGCTTAAAAAATAAAATTACTTCGCTAGAAAAATAATTTGCGAAATACCAAATTTCACAAAGTACAGTTTCATAATGTAGTAGAATAACAAATAATGGCTTGTAGCAAATATCAAAGGCCTTTTAAGTGTTTTTTTTAGCATTTAATAGTTTTCTAAAAACGTTAGTTATTTTTGAGGTTAATAATTGTTTATATAATTTAATTTTATTCATATCTTGGGATGACTCATGCATATTTGCATATTTTTTTTCAGGCGATATCGCATGCAACATCTGCATTCCAGCTCATTCCAGCATTTCCCCCAGCTTTTGGACCAAGGACTTTGGCCTGTCGGATGCTGTCAGGGGCCGATGTGAATGTAATTCCCCAAAAGACTCGTAAATAGCTAAAACATCAAGCTCCATCCGATCCGAGGACGGGATGGGGACCCTTTTAGCCAGCCACTCGAACTCGTATTTATGCCACTCGCTGGCAGTGAACAGTCAACAGGTGTGCGCAGCTCACCGCTCTACGCACTCGGCCTGATTTCAAGTATTCACTTACAGGTATTTACTTACAGGTATTTATTAGCAGTCTCTCCTCCCTGACTGATCTATTTCAGTGGTCTTTCGGACCTAATTGGCAACTCATTAAAATAATTTCGTGCCGGACAATGGACTTCAGTTTATTTTTGTATATACCTATACATGTTTTTTTTTGGTTTTTGGCATAGAACATGAACAGCGGCCAGTGGTTTTTAGCATTTCTCGGAACTTTTAGGACTTGACACGAGCAAATGCTGCTGCAGCTGTGCCGAAGTTTTCCGCGAAACTGTGCATGCAACAGCAGCAGCAGCAGCAGGAGGTTACTGCAGATACATCCATCAGATACAAATGAGGGCCCGCAGATGCAACCGCCGCCAACTCACAACTCACAAGCTCACAAGCTCACGGTATGTATCTGTCTATCTGTCTGTCTGTCTGTCGGCAATTGTAATAATCGATCTGCATGCCGAAATGATTGATGATGCGTTTCGGCCAAATGCTCTCAAGATTTATGGTTCCACCTTCTTATGGCTCGAATTCGACTTATCGACGGAGTTAACAGGCTTGTATCTCAAATATGCCGAAAGCAAGCGACATAATTTCGATTCTGCGACGTTTATTGCACATTATCGCATAATGCGGTTTATGCATATGCAAATTTCGACACGGCTTGGCCCACCTGCCGAAGTGGGAGAGCCGGTAAAGTCCAGCTACTGCTGTAAATCATTAAAATCCCCGGCCCACGGCAATGCAGCTGAGCATTTGAGCCCCGAAAACTGTCGCAGTTTTCATTTTTGTTTTTATTTTTGTGTTTTTTTTTTGTTTTGGATTTAATTGCCTGCCCAAAAATGCCGAAAATGAACAGGCGGGCACACAGACAACAAGTTTCCCTGGCATTATCTAACAACGTATCGAGGCGGCAGGGGGCGTGGCCGGGGGGCTGCATTCGTGCAGAAATAAAAGGCATCGGCTGGCCAAACTACGACTCAATTAACAGTCCACACAATTAAATTAAATGGTCGCATTTGTTTTCAAATTGAGCAATTAAGAAATGATTTAGCGACTTTTTTGGCATTGGAATTTTTGTGCGCCGAAGGTGGGCGATATGTCGATTTGAATTAAATTCGAGATAATTAATCAAGCGGCCCGGAGAAGATTAAAACGGTAAGCGAATTTACTCAATAAATTAAATATGAAAAAATTGAAAGTTTTATTTACCTTAAGCTTAATTTTTATGAGAAGATCATAAAATATGTTTTTAAAATCGAATGAATAATATTGCATCTACTTAATTATCTTTGGGCACGGATTAAAATTGTGGTTAATAAATTATCAATTTTCAATATGCAAAATATAAACAAACACACATACGCTTTTGGCAGATTTGTACATTACATGATTTACAAAGAAATTGAATGTTCGAAAATTATAACCTTTCAAAGCCATATCCATAACTTTAAAGGAAATAACAGATGTGTGTCAGGAGTCAAACACACCTCCCAGATGCACATATATCTGTCACTGCATTTATACGGATATTTCCTTACCGAACATTCTTACAAATGTTGAAGAGGGAACATATGGTCGAAAAAAAACTCGATTCCCAAAAGAAAGCGCCAAAAAAGGCGAACAAAAATTAAATGACAAATTAAATAATGTCAGCAACGCGTCGGTTGCCCAAAGGTTAAAGCCATAAAAAAGAGGGCCAGGTTGCGTACTCGGTTAAGCCAATATAATAAATTACATGGCGACAGTGGCGATAATCAAATGAACAACAGCAACAACAGCAAAGTGCAACATGCGTCCGGACTGAAAGTCGTTAAATAAAACGCACTGAAAAAATGTTTTTTTCTTGCCCTGCCTTTATATATATATTTTGGTTTTTTTTGTTGTTTGTTTGCTGGTCAGCGGCTGCA